TTTATTCATGTTATTTCCTCTGCCCTATATGGTGTTCCCTATATAACTCCTTTTCATCTTGTGAGTCTTAGCTCAAACACCAGTTTCTTGGAGATGCTACTTTCCCTGGTCAAACCATGTGTAGCCATCATGGATTCCTAGGCCATCACATAATTTGCCTTCCTAACTCTTATCATGGGCTTCCCTGGTGGCTCCAGTGGTAAAGAATTTGCCTGCAATGCAGAGGACCTGGGTTTGATCCCTGGATTAGGAAGATCCCCTGGAGAAAGAAAAGGTAACCCTCTCCAGCCTTATTGCCTGGGAAATCCCATGGACAGAGGAGTCTGTGGGCTATAGTCCATGCGGTCGCAAAAGAGTCAGACACAACTCAGTGACTAAATAGCCACAAACCCTCGTCACAGCTGTATTTCGCACTTATCCTTATGATTATTACTTGATGTGTATCTCCACTCACTAGACCCTAACTGCCAAGAAGGCAGGAACCATGTCTGATTTTGCTCTTCCATATATCTGGTGACTACCCTAGTTCTGTATTATCTATAGTCTCTAGCACAGGGCTGGCACCTGAAATTGTTAAATGAATGAAATTGCGTCCCTTCATCCAGAATTGTTTCTCTTAAATCATCGAGTACATTCCACCTGAAAGACACACCAGACCTATCCCTGCCTGCTGTTAAATGGGTCCTCATTGGCTGCAAGTTAAAGTCAAGCCTCACACTATGCAAGCCCTGTCATGACTTTGGCCTTTCTCTAGACTCATCTCCTGCTCTCATTGCTGGGGATTTTATACTCCAGCAACCCTGACCCGCTTCCTGTCTTCAGCATACTATGTCCTTCCTTGCTTCTGTCATACCTGTAGGCCTTTGCTCCATGAATAGGCTTCATCAAGAGTCACAGATTGTTAACATTTAAGCACATTTGTTCTCCACCCTCTCCCTCTCTCTCTCTGTGTATGTGTCTCTCTCTGTGTCTCTGTCTCTCTGTATGTGCACTAGGAGGCAAATTTGAGAGTAAGTTGAAAGTATCAACGGCACTTCACCCGCGAGCATTGTGGGAGCTATCATCTAAGAATAAGGTTAACATAACTGTCACACTTGGGAAGCTTAGCATTGATATAATACTGTTGTACAGACAAAGTCATATTCCCAGTGGTCCCAGTAATGAGCCTCATGGTGTCTTGTCTTCTTTTGTGCTCCTTGCTGTCTCATTCATACCCCTCCCCACAGTCTACCTCCGGTTTGCTGACTACCTTCCCACCTCCACACTGATTTCAGGAAGGGCAGAGATTGCAAGCTGTACATCAAAGCCTGTTTCTCTTCCTGAGCAAACAGCTTGACTTCATTTCTGAGTCTCCTTTGAAATTAGGTGTGTAACGTGCACCCCAATGTTCATCACAGCACTGTTTATAATAGCCAGGACATGGAAGCAACCTAGATGCCCATCAGCAGACGAGTGGATAAGGAAGCTGGGGTACATATACACCATGGAATATTACTCAGCCATTAAAAAGAATTCATTTGAATCAGTTCTAATGAGATGGATGAAACTGGAGCCCATTATACAGAGTGAAGTAAGCCAGAAAGATAAAGACCATTACAGTATACTAACACATATATATGGAATTTAGAAAGATGGTAACGATAACCCTATATGCAAAACAGAAAAAGAGACTCAGATGTATAGCACAGACTTGTGGACTCTGGGAGAAGGCGAGGGTGGGATGTTTTAAGAGAACAGCATCGAAACATGTATATTATCTAGGGTGAAACAGATCACCAGCCCAGGTTGGATGCATGAGACAAGTGCTCGGGCCTGGTGCACTGGGAAGACCCAGAGGGATCGGGTGGAGAGGGAGGTGGGAGGGGGGACCGAGATGGGGAATACATGTAAATCCATGGCTAATTCATTTCAATGTATGACAAAAACCACTACAATATTGTAAAGTAATTAGCCTCCAACTAATAAAAATAAATGAAGAAAAAAAAGAAATTAGGTGTGTGATTATGTGACCAAGTTCTAATGGCAGTGATGGGTGCAATGTCAGGGTCAAGATTTTTAAGCAGTAGCAAGATTTTATCCATGCTCTTTTGCCAGTTGAGTGTAGTCAATGAAGACAAAGCTCTGGGGAACAGTGAAGCCACAAGATAGAAGGAAACCTGTGTCCTCAGATCACTGGATGGAAGAGAGTCTCATGCCAACTAGGGACACCACCTGCCTTGTGTTATTAAGTGAGCAGAAATACACTTCTATTATGTTAGAGCTTTTACATAATTGGGGATCTATTTGTTAGAACAGCCAGTGTCACCAAATGAGGTTAATGATCATTCTATGGAAAAGGGGCTATTGAAATCTTCTTGTTCAGAAACTCTTATCTCAGGAGAGAATGAGAAGGGGGAAGGTTTGACCTCACAGACTGGAAAAGAAAAGCAGGTGGCTCTCAAAGCTTTTGCCTTGAGGCAGAGAAGCATGCAGGAGCACAGGACATGGAGACCTGGGTTCCAGATCTCTGTGTTCCAGTAAGTGTTTTCTGATGTCTAATTATGCCTTTTTACAGTTAGAGTCCATTGAAATTTTAAGTAGCAGCAGAGAAAATGGTCAACACTGGGGCTTTTTATAAGTGCAGAAGAACTAAGAAAATAAAGAAAATCCATGAAAGTTTGGTTTGACAGTATGAAAGTAATATGACTAAATAATTACAGCCATTAAGAGAACTTCTCATTTTGTCTAATTACCACACAACACAGTAAAAAGATTTATCATTAAATATGTCAGATTTGCTCTGTTGTTAATTTATTTGATCGCAGCTCCAAACTTTGTTCTTGAATGTACTGACTGCATTGTTTGCTAACATTGCTGCTCACAGCTTAAAAAATGAGAGGGAAACTTTCTAGTCTCCTGTCATAAACAGCTTTATGGCTGAGTAAAATTTAAGAACATTTTGTTGGTATCAAAATTTTATGGCTCTTGCTAGCTCGTTTTAATTTTCAGCTGTGTGAACTGAATTGGAAAGGTGCTGAGAAGTGAGAACTGTTGCTGAGCCAGGGATCTGAGACTTCTGATGAATCCTCTGGTCCAGCCAAAGCCTGCCTGCTTCATGTAGCAGTTAGACCACACTTGTGGTCAGCTGGATTAGCTGGAGTTTGCCAATCAATCTGACTTTGCTCCCAAGATGTCACCATCTCCATACATTTAATTAATTGCATGTATTACTGGCAGTATTACTTGTATATGTTAACTGCATAATAATTTACCAATGACATTAAAGTGTTTGGACAGAGTTACTCTGTATGAGTAAAAAATGGAAAATCTCACTCTCAAACACCGGCTGATGCTATAAAATAGTAACAGCATCTGACACTTATTGGGCAGATACTATGTGCCAGGTACTGTTCTGTTTTACATCCTAACAAATCCTCACAACAATCCCATGAGGGAAGTAGAGTAGTTCACCACTTCCTTAATGATGAATCCTCTGGTCCAGCCAAAGCCTGCCTGCTTCATGTAGCAGTTAGACCACACTTGTGGTCAGCTGGATTAGCTGGAGTTTGCCAATCAATCTGACTTTGCTCCCAAGATGTCACCATCTCCATACATTTAATTAATTGCATGTATTACTGGCAGTATTACTTGTATATGTTAACTGCATAATAATTTACCAATGACATTAAAGTGTTTGGACAGAGTTACTCTGTATGAGTAAAAAATGGAAAATCTCACTCTCAAACACCGGCTGATGCTATAAAGTAGTAACAGCATCTGACACTTATTGGGCAGATACTATGTGCCAGGTACTGTTCTGTTTTACATCCTAACAAATCCTCACAACAATCCCATGAGGGAAGTAGAGTAGTTCACCACTTCCTTATCTAAATTTTGAGAGGATATAGAACTTGCCCCAAATCACAAAGCCTAGGTAACTGGGGCTATCCTGTAGATGAGGAAAGTAAACTTGTTTATCTTTTCTAGCTTCTCTCCATCACTTTTTTCCTTGATATATCAATAAGTATATAGTATACTCAGTATATGTATGTATATAGAATATATATATATATATATTCAAAAATATATACCATGTGCTAGGTGCTGAGGACAGCCCTATTTTCAACAAGCTTATGATTTACTTGGGAAAGACTGAAGAGTGAACTAGATCATTATAAGGCAATGGGATAAGTTGTCTGGTGAGAGAAGGATTTTGTGGGAGCTTCTAACCCAAATTTTGAGGGAATAAGGGAAGGCTTCCTGGAGGAAAAGTCATCTGTGCTAAGGCCTATAAAAGATTATTAAGTATTTCTTGGAGGAAATAAACCAGGAAAAAGGTGGAGGTGAGAAAAAAGAGAGTGCTAGGCAATAGGAACAGCAGTGCTGAGTGGGCCAGGAGAAACATAGCCTATTGACAGTATACTGACTTCACCAGATAATATTGAGTGATCCTTTCTAGACAGGTTTCCCCTCCTTGCTACAGTGCCTGATTTTCTCAGTGTGGCGACTAACAAATATTTCTATCAATAAATCAATCACATTTATTACATAGTTACATTAGAAGGCATTGGGTGGGTCATTGAGAAGAATTTTAAGAACTCTGAGACCCTACCTCTACCTTCAAAGAGTTTGCTGAGTGTGAAGTTGAAGCATTGTCAGAGGAAAAAGAAAAATTAAATAAAAATGCCGGCATTTAAGTAAGAAGAAGAAAGAATTGAGGATGAAATACTCAGGCTCTGGATTCAGACCCTAACTCTACCACTTTCTAGCTGTGCAACCTTGCACAGATTACTCACCCTTTCTGGGGTTCAGTTCACATCTATCAGGTTAGAATAATAAAAGGTCCCTTTCCAGACTGTGGTAGGGATTAAACAGGTAATGGCTGTACAGCACTTAAATACTACTCAGCTCAGAGCAAACTCTCAGTAAATGTTTTAGCCATTAAGATATTGTTATAATTAATTCACTCTATAAATACTTGAATGCCTCCTCCATAATGCCTTTTGTACTTTTCATTTCAGGCCTCTAGCTGCATGCCACACCTGCCTCTATCCTAGCGCAAGTCTACTTTTCCACTGGATTCTGCTCTCAAGTCAGCATCATCTTGCCAAAGAAGCATAAACCACAAGCTCTAGCGAAGCTGGTTTGTCTGGCCACAAGCAGGCCTCAAAGTCTCCTGGGTACCTTCCTAAATCTCCTTGGACGGTATGTCTTACAACACTGTCAGGGTGGGAGGGACTGCTCTCTCTTGACATCTCAGCTGTCTCTCTGCCTTTCTTAGCTTTCTGTTCTTGTTTGCTTGGCAGCTAACTGCATACTATCCACTGACATCTTTTACCATGTTGTGATATATTTTTATTTAGTATTATTTCTATTAACACCTAGCATTTGTTGAGCCCTACGATATGCTGGCAGGACTTGGCAACAGCCTTGCTTGGGGGAAAGAGGATTATTAAGTTAGGTTGAAACATCTTGTCCTAAACTATTATGGACTGCATGCTCAAATAGAATCAGTAACCAGAAGTGTATTTGCTTTAAAGAAAGAAACACTAAAATCAAGTCAATTTAGTCATTAAAGAACAGGTAAGGATTTATTATGTCGTGGTTTTGAAACAACAACAACAAAACAACTCTTATTTATTTACTTATTCGATGAATATTGTTGAGGATGTCTGCTATATTTTCCAACACAGTGCCTGGTGAAAGTGGGACCCCATTAATGACAAGGGATAGCAGGATGGTACTGGTGTAGAATGCTAGACAAGTTCATTTCAAGGCCATGGCAGGCCATTTAAGTGAAACTGTCCGATCAAGCAGTTGATGATTTCAGAGTGGAGCTGAAGGGAGTGGATGAGAAAGAAGTAGATTGAGGCATCCTTCCCGGAGGGGATGGTCACACTTTAAATAAAAGTCTTCTGGTGTCAGAGGTCCCAGTGAGGGACACATGTTAACATGGTGAGAAATACATCACCAGGATTACATGTGCTTCTTTGACCAAGATGAAGGAAACTGATACTCAAGGAGCCTGGGGCCAGCCCCCAGCAGGCTTACCTTTCAAGTCTCCTCTTCTGTCGTAATACATTGTGTGAATTTTCTAGTTTACTCTGCAATATACAAATAAGAGCTTAAATTATTTCTGAGTAAAACTGACTCTACAGGATGACAAGGCGCATTTAGCCTGTGGCTTGACATAGGAGCAAATTATCGCAGGCACACCCACATGGAAGGAAGCTCACACTTTGGCTTAAGCAGTAGGGAGCATTCTTTTCACAATTTTTTTTTGGTTGTGCTGCTTTTGTTGTTTTGGCAGAAATTTGATCATCAGATCGGCTAGTCAGTTAACAGGAGAAACCTTAGAGGAGGGATTGGGACCTCATATGGGGATATTTTGTTGAGGGTGAGACCATCAGGAAAGGTCTGGTTGCTCAGTGGGTATATGGTGGAGAGAGTTGCAGGGGTGACGGGTCTTTGGACCTTATGGGATGGAGTGAAGGGCCCTGGAAGGGAGAAAGAAATGTTGGGAAGCTGAGTCTTGGCAGTGCTCTTGACCATGAGTAGAAGGAGGGGGAGAATGCCTTGGGCTGGGTGATCAGGGCACTGTTTACTTTGGGACTCTGTGAATCGAGGACTCTAAAGTTCTCTGTAGGGCCATTAACAAGCTGAGAGTGAAACAAATTGCCAGAACTTCAGTCCCGCAGCATATTTCTCTGACAGATTGGGTGCAATTTTTTTCCCGAGATGGGGGTATTTCAAAAGCAGAGGAGGAAAGGGAAGCTGGGAAGGAGGAGGTGAGTGGGGGAAGACAGCTGTCAGCTTCTGTGTGGCTCCAGGACAGCTCTTGCAGATGTGGGCAGAGCAACACTTGCCAATTCCCTGAGCCGTAGGCGATTCACCACATCCCAAGATTGGGGAGGGTCAAGGCAATCTGGATTAGACATGGGGATCCCAAGAGATTTTTGGACACAGAAGCTAGCTAGCCTCAGGATGGGTTAACTTTGCATGTGAAGGAACATCTCTCCTTGCACCACATTGAATCAATTTGATCAAAATTTGTGATTCAGACAAGCATAATTAAATTGAATATTTTAATTAGGCACAGTTTTGATGAAACTTAACAGGAGCCAGCAGGAATACTCTTGCTGTCTATTAAACGTAATCCAGCCTGGTGAAGAGCTCTTTAGTTGATGATCTTCAATACTGCCCAGTTCTCAGCTTCCTCACTGGCGTTCCAGTCAGCCTGGAGGAGGCTGAGATGGGGAAGGGATCAGGGGGAGGGAGAGACGAGTGGGACACAGAGCCCTCAGGGAGGCGTCTCTTTCAAAGTATTGTTGGTGCCACGCTTTCAGTCTACCCAATTATTTGCTTCTCATCTGTCCAAGTGGAGAAATAGTGAAGAGTGACATTGAGAGCTGTTTCACGGTAATGAGTCAGGCAGAGAAGGCACGGCTACCTGTTGGCTGAGAGGTGTCCTCCTGGCTTTTTTTTTTACTAATCACTTTGGCCTCTCAATTTTGCATCACAAAGCTTAAATCTTTCATTGGCCTCCCAGCAGAAAAACCAGAAAGAAGGCTTCTGGAATCAGGGATCTGGGAAGAACCCTCAGCCTGACATTTTGCCATTACTAATATTTTGGATATTAGTTAACACCGCATCACTAAATGAATAACATTTAATGTTATTCATGAACAGAGTGATAAATGAGTAAGTGATTCACTCAAGAACTCTGTTGTGAAAGAGGAGCTAAAAAGCATGGACCAGCAATGGCTGCTGCCTTTCTACAAAATGTGCTTGGACTTCAAAGAGAAATTCTCCCTTCCTTCCTCATTTGTCCTTTTCTTCCTTTATCCAACCAGTATTTACTGAGGCCTCACTGCAGCAAACATTCTACCGGAAACTGTGTATTTGATGGGAATAAATAAGAGTCTGAGCTCTCTACCCTCATGGAGTTAAGAGACTAGTGAAAGAGACAGGCAGTGGGCACATGTTTAGGACTCATGAGAAGCCCTGAGAAGGAATAACAGACAAATCATACTTAGGTTTAGGTCAGGGATCAGCAAACTACAGCTGAGAGGCCAAATCTGCATGTTGCCTATTTTTGTAAGTAAAGTTTTATTGAAACATAGTCACACATATCATTTACATATTGTCTATGGATGCTTTTGCTACAAAAACAGAGTTGAGGGCCTGCACGCCTTAAGATGTTTCCTGTCTGGCCCATTATAGAAAATGTGTGCTGAATCTTAGCTGAGCAGAGCAAACCTCTTGAAAAAGAGATTTAACTCAGGCTGGACGAGAAACCTTTGAGGAGTTGAATACTTTGGAAAGAGCAGAAGTGATGACCTTGCAATGGGGAGGAGTCAGGTGTGTTCAAGGACCTGGAGGAAAGTCCATTTGATTGGAGGGAGACAGGGCCTGGATGAGATGGAAGAGAAAGGAAACCCTGGAAAGGGATTTTGATGTGATTCTGAGTGCACTGAAATGCCACTGGGGGATCGTTAGCAAAGGCATGAGGTTCTGTAATATAGAGCCCTCTTTAAGAATCCTCTGAATAGATCACATCCTGGACCATAAATCTAGTCTTGGTAAATTCAAAAAAACTGAAATCATTCCAGTCATCTTTTCTGACCACAGTGCAGTAAGATTAGATCTCAATTACAGGAAAAAAATTATTAAAAATTCAAACATATGGAGGCTAAACAACACGCTTCTGAATAACCAACAAATCATAGAAGAAATCAAAAAA